GTGAAAAATTTGCAGTCAAATAATATATTTTTTATATTTTACAAAAAAAATGCAACCTCTAAGTTGACCCACATTCCTGAATGTGGTGGCCCCCATTCCTGCTGCAGTTGCCACCACAAAGAAGTGCAGGAAACAATTAAATCAATTACAGCAATGATGGGAGAAATGCTTAAAACTTCAGACATTGCTATTCTCCCTGGGTTATAAGCAGGGCATATGGATTTAACATTCTTTATACTTCCCCTTCTGGCAAATATAAGTCAAGGAAGGCAAAAGCTAAATGTAATTCAAAATGATTCCTTCTTTTTATTCTAGAAAAACAAAATACAAACGCAAAACAAATATTCCACAATAATTAAACAGAGAAGTTCAATGATAATTCAATCAGTATCTAAAACATTTAAGAAGTATTCAGTATAGTTACCACCACAAGTTATATATAATTTGACCTTTCTTCCAGATATCAATGTCAAAATTATGGTACCATAAAAATAATTTCACTCTGGAGAGAAGCAGCAAAGCCTCACTCTTTTAAAATCCCTATCATTTTAATCAATTTATTCATCATCTGCCAAATTACTGTCTGCATGTTTCTAATTTACTGACAAAAATAAATTTTATCCACAAATAGAAGCTGTTCTTGGAAATAAAGTAATGAACTGCCATTTCATAAACCTATGTGTGATAAACCTTACTAAGAAAACATTGGCAAAACTGTAGGATGTTTTGAAATGACTCGTCTTAGATAAGGTATTGTATCAAATCTTTGCAATGATCCAAAGCAGCAAGTGGGGGGACAGCCAAGCCTTACATAGCCTATGATTCCACCCCCATCACATCCTGCATTGTGGCGTCTAGTGCCACACACAAAGCCTCCTGTTCTCTGTCCAGGGACCTCTTGACACCACGCATTTTGCCACATTTTGCAGCTTTTAATTGCAGCAAGGACGGGGCCTGCTGTGTGCCATCATATCAATCCTTGCCCACATTCCTCTCAAAGTGGAGAAGTATCAAAAGGCATTTTCTTTTTGAATATGGAGAGAAAACTGTAGTTTGAGCAGCTCTGACAGAGCTATCACAGTTTCCTCCCTTTTTTTACCATGTGATGGCAGAAAGGGCAGTGGGGCAATGCACAGTGCTGTCCTTTCTGCCATCTGATGCGGGGAGGGAAAGTGTGTCAAAACACCCTCTCCCTTCCCCTCAATGTGATGAGGGGAGGAGGGAGGGTACATGGGGCACCACGAGCCACCCTACACACCTTCCCTTTCACCGGCAATTGCCAGCACAATGGCACGGCCCAAAAGGGCCACGTGAAGAGGTCACAGGTTTCACCACACTTGCCACAGAACACATTCTGCTATACATTTAGGAAGAAGCAGTAATGGCTGCCAACTTCACCAGCTTCAAAAGGGAATTGAATTTTAAAAAAACTTGGAGGATGCAGCAATTACTGGTCACAAGACACAATGGATGCACAAAGCTCTTTAGTCTTAGAGCAATATTAGCTAGTGGGGAGCATGAGCAGGAGGGAGTTTATTCAGTAATGCCTTTCTTCTATGCTAGCCACAGGCAACTGGTTGGCTACTAAGTAAACAGACTTCTGGACTACTTTTTTCTTATCTCTTGCATCTCATGAATTTTAATGACGTTGATAGGCCAACATTGATGTACCTACATTTTCAGTATAGATCTTGTTTTAATCATAGTAAACACTATTTCTACAGCAGAACTGTGCATTCCTTAAAAATAACTAGAGTTACACTTGTAGACACTACATGCCAGTGATTAGGAGGATGTTTGCCTCTCAAATGAAGCAGCACTTAAATTAGGTCACCTTAATTAAATGAATACAAACAATGTTCCGAGGAACAGTTTCCTTTTAGTGGCTTTTTGGGTTTCACCTGGTTTTTATTCCCATGGCTCAACACTGCAATCATATTATATTCAATAATAAAGAAAAAAAAGGAAAGCTAATGAATTCTAAGGAAGAAAGAGATTCATTTATAAGAAATTAAATTTTATTTTCAGTCAATGGCATAAATTTAGTAAAAGCTTCAAAAATATCAGGGTTTATCAGGGAACTACTGTATATAGATTATAGCCATCCAAAGTCCCTTCGGGGATAGGGGTTGAGATACAAATAAAGCTTATTATTATTATTATTATTATTATTATTATTATTATTATTATTATTATTATTAGAAACTTTTTTACTGCACATGTATATTGCCAGTGCATATCCAATTTATACCAGTTCAAAAGTCATTCCTTTGTCAAACAATTTTGGAAACTCTGATTTGGTGACATTATGTCATGCCAAAATTCCACCAAAAGATAACTCCCACAATAGAGAGAAGGGATAATCATTACACTAGTTTAAATCTGCAGGGGAGACATCTTCTTTAAAATATCACAAGTTGCTCAGTATTGCAAACAGGTGCAATAGATTAGTTCATTATATGCCTTTCACTCTCTACATCCATTCAACATCTATATCAGACAGTATTCAGTGGCCATTGATTATGCTGACATGAGAATATTCATAGCTGAGATTCTTCCCCCCCCCCCCTATTTTTTCCTACTTCTGGAAGATTTTTGGAATTCTCTGAATATTATCAAACTTCTCTCTTGACCTCTTTTGGTTACATAACTGGTTACATAACTTGATATTCTGTTTGTTCCCTTAAAGAAGGTTGATTTCCAAGGGGGACTGAATAGTTTTTAATCTGAAAAGGGGGCAGAAGGCCAACTACATTACAGAACTTCTGCTCTAAATGATGTGGTTCAGACTCGGTTTCCAGATGCTGGCACAGGATTGCCAGCATCTTCTCACTCCAATTGAAGACTGTTATCTTAGTTTTCCTCTTCCTCTTCTTTGTCTGCAGAGGCCTCCTCCAGGTAGGACACGAGGATGAATTTCTACTTATTTCTGTTAAAGAAACCTGCTCCCTGGAATTGTCACTCATTTTCTGCACAATAAATGTTATCCTTTTGAATATTTGGCAAACTATCTCCATTATTCTGACCCTTAGCGACAGCATAAAAGTAAATAATTTCTATATCCAGCCTGCTTGCTCCCTTCCAAACTTGAAAGCATAATGAGGCAAACAAAAATAATTACATGAGCTAAATAATACAAACTTTGGAAATTGTATCAGCTAAAAATATACACAATTATTCCCAGTTTCATAGCAACCAACATCTGAAACCAACATCTGAATTTAGAATTGATTTCAAACTGTTCTTCAGAATTACTGTTTAAAAGGCTCTGGAAAATATTCCAGGGTGAGAAGTAATTAATGCCAAAATGATGAGATAAATTGAAATAAAAATGTCTGTCCACAGTCTCAATAATTGCTTGGTTTATGCTTATGCAGGTGCTCAAATAAAATGAAAATATATCACATTAGGTGCAACCAATTTTGAAATAAACCCAAATATCTGAAATTAGTGGACTTCAAGGTACGTTGCAGTATTTCAGGCGATAATTATAAAAATTTGTTTTCTTTAACTTCAGCAAGCATTATGATGTTAACAGTATATGGATCTTGAATAAGTCAAGTACAAATTAACTCCTATTAAAAAAGAGGCATATCCTTGACTAACATTTCTAGACTTATACATGATTATACAGAGTACTTGCTGAAAGATACAGAAAAATGGTAGCATATACCTGGCACATAGCATTTTTTAAGAAGCATGAACTCTGTAGAAAGGTATAACTAATGGGGAATTTCAAGTGTAGAAATATAATTAGCTTTCAGCTCACAACATGTTTTCCAAAACTGTTGCCTTAGAAAAGCCCCACACTCATAACACACAATATCAATTCAGATTGTTGGTCTTAAAAGTAAAAAAACTGATCTGTTCTGCTTGTGCTGGGGATACAATGACAACAACATTATTGTGTCTAGACAGTTTTCAAGAAAATCTTCTTCCCAGCATGAAAAAAATGAAGCTACTCAAGATTTTAAAAAGAGAAATGGCTTCAAACAATTATTTAACAGTGAAAAAAATATGTGTTCAGAAATCATCTTCTGGCAGGTTGACAGTGCAATTTTGAACTACCATTTTGGACCCTGATTTTCCAGAAAATAGCATCTTAGAGAAATATACATGTGTACTACAATTTGGGTATAGTTCATGTGTATAGTTCAACTGTCACTCTTGTTTCCATTAACTACAGAAAGTCCTTTGAAAAGCCATATTCTAGAAAACATATAAGTGAAGGTGACTTCCAGGCATCATTTATCTCAAACACAATGATTGTTGGTTTTCTAACTACTATATTTCTTGAACTTATTCCTGTTAAACTGAAAAACACCATTGATTGTAAGACACGTTAATTTCAGTATCACCACCACCAAAAATACATAAGATACACCTGCAGTTCTAAGAAGCATATCATTTTAGAGATGTTTATATAGGGGAGAAAGTGTGTCTTGGAATTAAAGAAATACAGTAACTACTGATCCAAATGGACATAGATTTATGAGAGTTTAAAAAAATAATTGGGATACAAATTTGCACTTTGTGTGAATCTTAATTTCAGTTGGACTCCTGTCAGAACAAAGTACATTTATATAAACTTCTGCATTTTTATACCATCATAACACTAAGTAGAACACATCTCTAGATTAGGGGATGGTAGCAGGTGTTGTTTTTCCAGGAGTAATACAGAAGTTTTCAATTGTTGTAAACCATTTTAAAACCTGTATGGCTGAACAACAATTCATAAATATCATAAATAAACTTTGCTTACCAATTTTTATAGGCCCTCTGCTCCTTTAGCTTCATCAAATTTAGTGGGCTTTATGTCTGAGCAGTGTCTTATTGTCTGAGTAGAAATATGACATTGCTGTTGGACAAATTAAAATGTCTTTCTGTTCCATACGTGAATGCTCAGCCTTGTTTTTGAACTATGAACAACATTCTGATGACACAAAATTGTGAAACAATTGGATGATCTCATTTTGCAAATTGGAGAAAAAGCAACTCACCTCGTACATACACTGTGAGTCCATGGATATCACGTACTACAAACAGAGTTGAGAAAGAGAGAGAGCATTACTTTCCTAAGAGATTTTCTTCAGAACAACTATTATTAAATTAAAAAGTGTCATGGATTTCATGTGCAGGAATGGATTATTGAAGATTTACTGTGTAATTTGTCAAGCATTACCTGTTTTATTACTGCTAACAAAATAAATGTCAGCAAAAAAAAGTTAATATTGGCTGCACCTGACTTTTGAACACCAGCTTGAAAGAGGCAAATTAAGACTCCTCAATGTCTGTTTGAAGAATGCTTCTTCCCATTCTTTTTTCAGTACATGTAGAACTCAAGACCAAAACCACTGAACAGGTAGGCATTCTTAACACAATAGTGAATTTGTAAGCTTCCAGGAAAGACGGCATTATTCTATAAAATACATAATTTAAATTAAGTACATTGTTTCATATTATAAATACTTATAATATGAAATAATTAATTTGAATTATTTTTAAGTATCTAAAAGTTTGGAATATAAAGATTTTGTGACAGAATTTTGTACTGCTCCTTATTTTTATGTTAATGGTCTCAAAACTGATTTAGATCAACATCAAGCCCATTAAAATAATCATTAGGGACATTACAGAAAGCTGAATTGCCAGCACAGGCTTAGGGATGAAATTATTCACTAATTTTGTTCTCAAAGGAAGCAATGAGTAATTATAGCCATTTTCTTCCTATTGTGAGAATGTCGACAAAATGGCAGTTTTGAAGCTATTTACAGTTTATTTTGCAATACTTATTATGCAAGAAATTCACATTTGGTATTGTCTCCAGAAACAGGACAGAAAATGTTGTAATTGGGAACTTGTTGTTGTAGTACAGCATGATAGTGACTGTGTTTGGCATTCTTGAGGCTTCTGGGTCTTGACACTTGTTGTACGCTAATTATTACGCACATTTTTAACTAAAAGCCATTTTGTTTGCAGAAATTTTCCATGCAGAAAATGCTGTTTTGTATGCAAATTGTATAAATTTTGTCCTTGGCAAGTTCTGAGATGTGAAAATGCCTGCAAGTCAAGAATTCCCCTGATTGGTTTTCAAATATTTGAGGAATACACTTTTGGATTGTTTTTTTTTAGATACTTTAAAAAATTCTTTCCATTTCTACAAAGAATCTATCTGCACTAAGTCACATCAGTGCTGCAGCAATATAACATGCATCTGTTCAGAAGCAAATCATGAGGTTTCTTAATTTTTACATTACTCACCAGGCGATCCTGCCCCACTGGAAACCCTCTGGCCTGTTTACAATAAAAGAAGAATGAACACCAAACAATTAAAAAATGCATTGTCTTTGTGAAAATATTACAACTTTTCTGCCAGTTTGAACATCTCTTTGGCAATGGGAGAAGGAAAGGGAAAATGTGATAGAAGAGAAACATTCTTTCAAATGAACTGAAAAAATCATTATCCTAATGTTCCTAGAGCAAAAAAGGAATTGATGGAAGTTCTCTGGGATAACAATGCATGAGATTATGATGGTGGAATATCTGGGTTGTAACATTCATTGGACAATTCTATGCATGCTTATATAGATGTAGGTCCCAGTGAGCTTAATGACTGTTATTGTTAAGCAAGTGTGGAAATAACTGTACAGTCAATGGACCAAACTCAGGTTAAGTTTCAAATACATTTTTTTCTTTCATCTACAAATTTAAGACAGTAGGCATATACATAAGTTTTTCATCATTTTAATTTTTCCATTTGTTTCTTGACTACAACTCCTAGCTGCCTCAGCCAGCATAATATTAATGCTAGGAATGCTAGGACTAGCAGTCCAAAATTTGAAAGACCACATGATTTCTACTTCTTAGGTTAAACTGTAAAACGATGGCTCTCAATACATATGTAAAAATGTAAAGTAGACATGTGAAACCAATTTAGCTTGATAGTTCTCATCTAATAGTGTAATCCTTTAGACCAGCCTTTCTCAAATTCTGCTCCTCCATGTGTTTTGGACTTCAGCTCTCAGAAATTTCAGCTAGCTTATCAACTGTTAGGAATTGTGGGAGCTGAAGTCCAAAACATCTGGAGAAGCAGACATTGAGAAACTCTGCTATAGACATATATTTAGAAGTATTTATTCAGTGGTGCATACACATCTATAAGTGTGCTTAAGACTGCAACTTTAGGGCCTTTTCAGAAGCTATTGGTTTCAACTAAGAGGTTATCTTACCTGTCAAGAAGACTATGAAACAGATTGCAACAAAATGACTGGTTAAAGGCTGTAGCTTCATCTTCACGGGAATGTTTATTCACAAGGATTTATGCTGCCAGGCTGATGTTCAGATAATGGAAAATAGCTGACCATAAAAAAAGAAAGAAAAATATAAACATCCATTTCTAAAGGAATATATGGTACAATGTAGAATAGCCAAAATAGTGCTATTCAGCTATTATAAGAAAAAAAAGAACATTCTCGAGATTAAGTGGTTTCAACTTTCAAGGGAAAAGAATGCACAAAACTTCAGTGAGTCTCAAGCTTCTACATCTAAATGATCAATAAAAATGTCAAGGTTGGGACACATAGGACGAGTGTGAGACTGTCCAGTTGTCAACCCCTCAGAGACTTCTTAGTTCTGAGCCTTCACTTCTAGTTCAACAATAATTTGCTATCAATGACCAAAAGTTACTTTGATAGAGCAAAATTTTATGTGACCATTATTTTACTGAATCCATTATGGAGCAATTTATTCCATACAATCACTAATACATTTTGGTCAGTTTGTTTCAGGGTAAAAATCTGTTAACACAGACAATCTAAGTATTGCCTTTTCTCTGTTTAGCTTATGTTCCAATTTTCCCCTAAAACTGGGGCTCAAGACAGTTCAAAAGATTAAAAATGAAGACAAAATCATAAAGAATGGGATTCAGTATGACCCCATATCCACAGGACATGTATTCACATGTTCATTTATCTAATACAGTATGTCTTCGCTAAACATTTTCTACTCCCTCCAATGCAACTCTATAGTATTCTTGGGCCAAAAGCCATTCATTTTAATATATTTCGCTACTATCCATAGTTTCAGGTATCCACACAGAGTCCAGACACATACAGCATTAAAATAAAATTGAATTAAAAGTCATTTCAAAACGATTGGTTGTTGCTGTTTTTATGTCCCTTGAAATTATTTTTAATGCAACAGTGCTATCCCTAGGGGTTTCTTTATAAAACTCACTCCATTAGACATCTCTTCCTTAACCACCAAAATTCCGCTGCATAAAAGTCCACATTTACCTGCTGCAGAAGAGAGAATGGAGCTATCTAACCTTCTTTGGAAAGGAGATTCACAGTAAGCTGATAGATTCCTCAGATTCCCCCAACAAAGGACCCCCCAACTCATTGAACAAGTTCGAATGAATGCAATCTCTCTCAGATTCTCATTAACTCTCTCCTAGTATTGGCTCATTTTTGTTTCTAGTGTTGTTCTTTTTCCCTCCTATTCATTCAATGCTTACTTCAAAAATCTACACAGCAGCAACATGCATTTTAAATTTTAATTAACTGAAAAAGAATTCACTTGAGTAAATTGAAATAATAGAGTAACCCCATGGGGAGAGGACTGATGATAATTATGCATAAATGCATAGCAAATGTTATAACCTACTAATCACACTGTGACTTATACAGGAGGTGGCTTAACTAAGAAATGGACAATAGCATACAAGCTCATCATTTGTCTGGAGTATGGTCCTTGGATTTGCTTTTATCTAAGGTTCCATTTTGAAAGACTGTTGCTTTATCAGTTGTAAGCAGAGTCTCTCCAAGAACTCATTAGGGAGTTTCAGTAGTTAAATTGTGTGCTACATACACTTATTAAAAACTGCCAAGGGTTATGCATAAGAGAGGAAAGCTATTTCTGAACTGCCCAATCTTTTGAAACAGCAACAACTTGTAGTTTACACTTGTTCATGTTCACCTAGTGAGAAGCCCTTTGATATACTGCTATCACAAATGTTCTCAGAGCTGTCTGCAGTTAATGACAATACTATAGTTCCTTTCTATAAAACTAAAAGCTGTAACTAACTGGGCTACACCAGCTAAGACACCCAAATAACCATAGAAAAACCAATTTAAGACCATCACATTTTCAAAAGATGGAATTTACATCTACATTAAGACTCCTGTATCCACTTGGGAAATGCTTTTGGTTTCAATGTAAGCAGGAAACTGTGGATGAAACTAAACCCCAATGAAATGAATGACCTCTGCCAGAAGTTGCCATAATGTTACTCTGGGAAACATAGAAAATTCCAAGAGAGGTATCTGTTCTTGAAATCTGATATCTGCTCTAACATTATTCTTGTAACTTTGAGCAGAAACAAACTATAGAATATCCTGGATGACATAGGCCCCTTCTACATCTATATAAATAAACATGTAATGTTCGTTTGTGGGATTAACGTAACTCAAAAACCACTTGATGAATTGACAAGAACTTTGGACACTACACCCCTAACAGACCAACGAGTGGCCATCACTCATAAAATCCCCCCCAAAACAGTGGAAAGGACTTAACCCCCCCCCCCCAAAGCTAAATGATGAAAAACTAAATGACAATACAGAAAAAAGGGAAGGAAAAGGGAGGGAAGGAAGGGGAGAAAAAAAATAAGAAAGAAAGAAAGAGGGAGGGAAAGAAAGAAAGAAAGAAAGAAAGAAAGAAGGAAGGAAGGAAGGAAGGAAAGAGGTAGCAAAAAAGAAGGTAAAGAAAAAAGGGGAAGAAAGGAAAGAGGTAGAGAAGGAAGGAAGGAGAGAAGGAAAGAAAATAAGGGAAGGAAGGGGAGACGGAGCAAAGAAAGGAAAGCCAGAAGGAAGGAAAGAGATAGAGAAGGAAGAAAGGAGAAGAAGAAAAAAGGAAAAGAAAAAGGGAGGGGAAGGAAGAAAAGAGGTAGAGAAGGAAGGAAGGAGAGAAAGAAAGAAAAAAGGGAAGGAAGGAAGGAAAGAGCGAGGGAAGGAAGGAGAGAAAGAAAGAAGAGAAAGAGGGAGGAAACATTGGCCACAGCAACATGTGATGGGTACAGCTAGTAGCTGAATAAAATCCCACATTATCTGCTTTGATATTCTGGGTTATATGGCTGTGTGGAAGGTCCCTTAGCAAATCTCTAACGAGATCGTATTTTGTCAAATTGTGAATACAAGTGAAACTGCAAGTACAGGTCCCAGGGGCACAGAATTGTACTATACTGTGTATATATCAAACCCATTGTTTTGTAAAAGGAAGATTTTTTTTTACTCAGCAGCTCAAGATTTTTGAGACGAAGAGAGAAGGGACTTAGTATTACATTTGCATCTAATTCAAGTGTGGTCCAGATAAATGATAGTACAGTTTTTTTCTATTTCATTTATACTCTGCCTATCTCCCCATGGAGACTTGTGGCAGCTAACAGCCACACACTTTGGTTCCCATTTAAAACAAAGTGAATATGAATAATAAATAAATAAATAAATAAATAAATAAATAAATAAACAATACTGTGTGGTTTTGGTTAAAATGCAATTAAAATACAAAAATACAATTAAAATGCATTCTAAAACACTCCACCCCTCCTCCAAAATCCCACCCACGGACTCCCCAGCAGCGTGCCTATTATGCTTCTCCAAATGCCTGTTGGCAGAGAAAGGTCTGTAGCTGCTTGGGAGGGAGTTTCAGTCTAGGAGCAGCCACCAAAAAGGCCCTCTTCCATGATCCCTTCAAATACACTTGAGCAGGTGGGATAGATAGAAGCCCTTCCCAATTGATCATAGATAGCTGACAGGTACATAGATAGAGATATGGTCCTTCAGATAACTTGGACTGGAGCCATATAGGGCTCTATTGGATGTCATCAGTTTGTAGCTATTTATTGCAAGGGTAGCATGGACTTTATTCTGTCTTCACTACGTTGAGTTTCTTGGAAACACAAGGCAGTTTAGATGTGATCAATCCAATCTTATCCAACCTTATTGCTTTCTTGAAGTTTTCTAACTAGGATGCCAAGCTGCGATGTATGCATAATGTTAACTGATTATTCTTAGAGGCTAAAATATGACCATAGCAGAAGACATTTTTTTAAAACCTTCTCTCCACTGAGGACAAACAGTAACAGATTTTCTCTCAAAATGGCATGTTCCTTAGCAACTATTTCAAATGGAGTGCCTTTTTAACATCAGTCACTTGCTTCTTTTGAGAATACTTAAAACATCTCTTTCATTCTGTGAATGCACAATAAAAACTAACTTAGGAGGCAGCTGTAAGCTAGGAAGAGGAAATGGAACATCAATACAGGTCTCCAGCTGATTTCGAACAATGCTGTTTGCTGGTTGTTTATATATTTAACAGTGTTTCTATTGCCTAGGCATTGTACCTCAGAGTTAATAGACAATGTTAACATTAATTGATCTATGGTTTGGGATGGATGAATCTATCAGTTTCAGTTTTTAACTGGTTTGTATTTTCCCAAACTTAAGTTTGCTTAAATCAGTTTGAATATACAGAAATGTGCATGCATTCTGTATACTTCAATAGTAGAATGCAAGTACCAAAGCTCAATCTGATACTTTAAAAACAAAATAGCTTTTAGAGATGTTTAGAAGATGAGTCAAGCCACTATTATAATTCGTCAGTATACTGAATTATCAAAGTCATTGGGTAACTTCATTAGTCACCATCCCTAAATTTAATCTAACTCAGCATAGTTTTTTGAAGATAAGAGGAGGAAGAGACCTGTCCATTAGCTGACTTCCTTGGAATAGTGGGATGGAAATGAAATCAGAACATATTTTTTATTGCTAAAGGTATGCTTAACTGAACTTTGTTTGCTGTTTATGATCTACTGTGACACAGCCTTTAACATCTACATAAGGTACAGCAGATGTTGCCCCAACAGATCCTAGCCCTAGACAGTACAGTAGAGTCTTGCAGGAGCATCCCCACAAAATCTTTCAAAATCTTACATCTTGTATGGGTTCCTTGAAATAATGAGAAAGGGAAAAAAATCATTTGTTCTTGTTCAGGTGTAGGTCAACTGGGTGGTTATAATACATCCATTTCTTCTCAGATATATTCCAGCAGATAAAGCATTGCAAAGATATTGATGCAGCCCAGCCATCTATGTAATTCCTTTTCACCCACAATGAAGAGCTAATTAGCCCAAATATGACTCAGCCAACAGGAATCAATCAAGTAAGGAAAGGTTTATTTTTTAAAAAGTGTTCTATCAAAACAATTAGTTTGAAAATACATGCCAAGGTAAAGAATACAAAAGTATTTCCAAGTTATATGTAAAAGGCAAAAGCAAAAATACATCCAAAGCATATGCT